TTTCGAAGCATTCCTCAATCGCATACATATCGGGAGCACCATCCTCGAATATGCCGTAGTGCCACATAGCACTTTCCTCTCCAATCCGATCCCGCTCGACTTTGCTGTTCTGCATATGAGGAGCAAATAGCTGGACGAAGATGTCTTCGGAGTTAATAAATCCTATCAGCGTCAACAGGTTTGAGGCATCTGCACCCCCACCTTGCACGATAGCATCGTATGTTGTTTCCCAGGTGGTGAGAACACTCTCTCCGTACTCCTTGACTAGCGCAGGCTTTCGAGATAGAATTTGTTTCCTCCGTTGGCGATACTCCTTGAGGTACTCGTCAAGGTTCTTCTTCAGTCGCGCAGTTTTGGAGACATACGTGCCGGATAGGCTCAATGCGAGGGCAAGGCAGCCGAGGGTAGTGACAATCTCCTCTGCAATGGCATCTCTGGCAATAGTCGGTCCTAGCCCAGCGCGGGCCAAAAAAAGGTGTTTAGCCTGCTCCGTTTCTAATTCTGCGACTCGCACGGGCTCGTGTACCATTTTGGCGACGCGGCCACTGCGACTGACCAGAATAATGTCGATGCTAGACACATCTGGGAAGTAATGAGTGATATCGACATTCCCCTCTAATGCAGGTTCGCCGATGTTATCTGCACCGTCAAAGACGAATATCCAGCGGCCACTTCCGCCACTAAACCATTTTTTGACGGCGAGGATTGCATCTTCGACCCGGACATCGTCCTTGGTGCTGTCAGGCACGTTGAAGAGAACCTTGGAGATGGCAAGGAAGTCTCGGTCGATTGTTTGCTTCCGACTCGCATCGACCCAGAAGCTTGCGCTGTATTCGTGTCGGTGTCGTAGGTGGTAGTCGAGGACGAGTTGGGATTTTCCGACCCCGCCTATGCCCCACACCACAGCGATTCGAGGGCCTTGTCCATCCGCATCCGCTCTTGGTGGGCCGATCTGCTCTCGTAACTTGTCGTGCAAGGTTGGTCGCGACACAAAAGTCAGGACGACGCGGAGAGACGAGTACGCATAATGGCCATGGTAGTCGCAAGGGGAGAAGAATAGAGGCAATGGAATACCTGATTGGTGTCAGCTCCTTGTTGCGAGGCGACACGGTCCAAAAGGCGCACTATAGTGGTTGTCGTCTCCCACCTTGACCTGAGCATGGTCACGCGCGTCGATGGATTCCACTGTGTTTCTACGATTATCCATGGCGAAGAAACTTGAT